AAACAAAAATTTGTTAAATATGATTAAACTGTTCATTTAATAATACGTTTTACTCATGAAATATGTTGGCAGAGTTAACGTATGTAATTTGTTTCATTCTCCAATGTATTCAGTAACGGGAAAAAAATCGTTTCTGGCACTATACAATTTTAACCTCATAATCTGGCACTGCCAAGGCACTGAACCTGATGCTAGATTATCGGATTTTTTCTATCTTTCTGTTATTAAATTCCTTATATTTCTTTGCTGCAAAATAATTCTCATAAAACAAATCTGAAAGGTTTCAGAATTTAACGGTCGTCCAAAAGGGTTTGTTAAGGTTTTTTTTTAGCTCTCTCTGTGCTCGCAGTCTATCAGCCTGTTGTTACACTCACTCCTATTCACCCCCTTTTTTTTTTGCCTTTGAAGCTTTATTATTAAGCATCATTTTCTGCGCACTTACAACATTTAACAGCAAAATTACAAAAATGTTACAAGCAGTAAACTAGTATACTTTTAGAATTAACAATGCAGCGTAATGTGTTGGCATACATTTTACTGTTTTTTTTTTTTTTTTTTTTTTTTTTTTTTTTTTTTTTTCAGTCGTTTTCTCAGTTCATCATATTAGTTTTCAGGTTTCTTTCTGAGATGGCTTTATAAAACGTTTTTGGACTTTTTTTTTTATTAACGTTTTGTGTGTATAATTTACTTATTAAATGTAACGTTCTTGGCGCCTGCTCCACATAAAATTCCATTCAACAGCAAAGTCATTTTAGAAACAGCGCATGTTTAAAATTTCCGATAAACAGTCTCCCGCGCTGGAGATAAAAAGTTTTATTCCTAACAGCGTTGCCACTGCTCGCTTTGAAATCGTTGAGTATGTCTATCAAAAATTCGTTAAAGTTTTACAAAATATGGAACTGGTAATAAAATAAATTCTGAACTTCAGATTCGGTCTTCCAGTCTCCCGTATTCGATTGGATACGGGAAATACGTATTCGATTTCATATTGCGTGAAACATATATTCATTCTTTAAGATTCTTCATTATTTAATTTTTTAAATATAATACAGAGAGATAATAATTGGTGACGACAATTTGAAAATTGATAAAATGTATTTAAGTGTTCGACGAAAAATGCCGTTTCGAGACTAATATCCCATTCAGGACTAACATCCCTTTTCGGTTAATAAACATGTATGATTGTAATTATTACCTTAGGAAAGAAAAAGAAAGAAAGAAAGACAGAAAAAAGAAAAAGAAAAAAAAAAAAAAAAAAGAAAAAAAAAAAAAAGAAGACGACGAAAATGAAGAAAATGGGACAATTTTATATCTCCAATTCTACTGGGCCGATTGACGAAATTTAACTTGAGTTTTTCATGGCTAGAAAGTGCGATTTAGGATATATGTTAGATTCTATTTAACAATTGTTAAAACATAGGAACTTTAACACAAAATTAGGCTTTTCTGAAATGACATACCGATTCTTTTCCTATATTTCGATTATACGACGCAAAGTTTGCCATTGAGCCAAACTTTATAAAAATCACACGAATAGTTTTTAAAAAATTAGCTCTCAGAATTTTAGCCCTCATTGTTAATTAAATTTAGCGTATATTTATTAATATACCCTTTTTTTACTAAACTTACTTGATTCTTTCTTTCACAGTTAAAAATTTAGGTTTAGTCGAAATAAAATTCCCGGGCATTTTCTGATTTGTTTTTAAAATTTGTATATTTTAGTAATTTTTATATTTGTTTCGAATAAAGTTTTGAATTATATCCTACAAAATTTTTAAAGTGTCGCTGTTGCGACTTATCTCAGTCTTACAGTAACATCAGAACAAGCCCAACCAATTCATCATGGCAAGAGTGCAAGATTGCGCCTTGGCAAGAGCCTTCAGCACCATACAGGCAACGGCAACACTTTGCTCAGTTCCGTCCCGAATTTTAAAAGAGTCTTCAAATTATTTTGATGGAGACAGACCCAGGGGGACAGATCTGAAGGTCTCCTTTCCCTGCCACGAACCTCGCAACAGAACTTTTGGCTCGCCTCATATTTTGAGTGCGTGCATGCCGCGCAGACACTATACATTTACAAACATCTATGCCTTCTACGGGTATTGAACCCCAGCCCTTAGGCACGGCAGTCAGCATCTCCAACCACTATCCAGGTTGGGCGGTTAAAGTAAATGCATTTATAAGCATACCTACAAAACATTAGAGCTTTTTATTTAAAATTTTCTAAGATATACATAAATTTACATACTGGCCCCTTTTAAAATTTGGCATATTTGTTATGAGCGATAATAACGCCAAATATGGTTTATGTACTTTGTTAAAATTACTTAAAAGAATGAACGGCGCGCTTTTTTTTTTTCCCCTTTCATACTCAGTGAAAGGGAAAAGAAAACAAGCTACCATAAATTAAAAATATCGCCGTGTGAATTATTCTTGGCTGGAACTGAAAAAAATTGGGCCAAGATAAATTTTTAAATTTCTCACCATATTTTACAAAATTTGATATTTGGGCATGATTTGAGTCGTAGAATCGAAATGTGGAAAGCAAAATTGGTATATGAGTTCAGAAAAAATCCCATTTTATCTCATAATACCTCTGTTAGAAAAATGCTATATATATCCTAAACCGCGCTTTCGAGACAGAAAAAAAGCACATGAAATTTCGTCAATCGAACCCAGTAAATCGGAAGATACAAAATACAAAACTGTCCCCTCCCCCTTTTTTCCGTGTGTGTGTGTGTGTGTGTGTGTATGTGTGCAGAGTGTACGAATGCTCATAACTGAAATCATTCTAAAATTTAAATGTTAATACAGGTCTCTTAATAAATTTAATAATTAAAAATTAAGTCTGCTAAGTAATAAATTTTGTATTAATTGTTACTTTTAAAGGAACATGTTCAAAGTTTTCCGATCTAAAACTGAAGAAATATAAGAAAATTCTTATATTCTGTTATTCATGTTTTGAAAAAGGCCTTATAATAATTTAAAATTTTATACTCATGTGAGCATATATATTGATATAAGAAATATGTAAGCAAGTGCACATGCAAGTATAGATTACCCATTTTACGTAATAATAATTTCTCAGTATTGCTTTTTAAAATAATCTGATTATTTAATTGAATCAAATTCATTATTTATTTTACATTAAATACAAATATTAACACACGTAAGCAAAATTTGTCGGTTCTGCTGAAATATGTTTGTTGCTGTTGATATATAAAATTACTTTTCATGTATAAGGACCTCTGCTATTAAACTGCATAGTTGAAGTTATAGTCAGCAAATCACAATATCAATATCGTAATGTTTAGTTTCATTCTTAAACCGAAGATATACGAAGATGCTTGACGTCTGTGATTAAGAAACAGGTTTAATATTCTCCAGAGTTCTGTAACTAGAATCAGACAGCACGAGAAATATTCTATTAGAGAATCTTTGAATTTCAAATGAAATTTTGCAAAAACAGATGCATACAATTATCTATAATTTTAAAATGTCTCCAGTGTTAGCGAAATCGAAAGTAGAAAACGTAGTAGTCTTCCTTATTTTCATAATTTCATTAATGATAAGAGACCTCATATAAATAAATTAGCACCCAAATTTCCGCATTAGATGTTTTGGTTGAAGCTTTATTTTATTGCAGTGAATTTTATTGCTGGTGTCAGCATATGTTTTATTTAGAAATCTGGCATTTAGGACTGCATCTGGGATTCAGAATGTTTCACACATTAGAAAATTTATACATAACCAGAATACACCATTCTTCCACTGGGAAGAATGATTTAAAACTAATATTACAAGTTTAAATGCATGCGCAGTTATTGATATATTTCTGGAAAAAAAGAGCAGGTTTCATAGAGGCAAATTTAAGGTACGAAACAGCAATCTAGAAGAGAACATAGTCCAATTTATTTCTAAACAAATCTTTTGAAATCTTATGAAGGTGCTTCAGACAATTTTTCAATTTAGAGAATTTATCGGTTGAAATTTCATTAAATGTGGTACAGAGATTAAATCATGAATATTTTTTCTCATGATGTATCGTAACATCTTATATGTATACATTTGTGGAGATTTCAATTCAATCTGGTGAACAAACGTATATACAAGGTGCTTCTAAATTGTTTTTATAAATTAAGAGGGGTGATAGTACTCATCCAGATGAGCAAAAATTACCATGTAACATAGGGTCGAATTCCACTCTGAAAGGCAGAATATTAGAATTCCAACCTGAACTTACAACAGTGTTGGGAGAGCGAATGACCAGATTAAAAGTTGCACAATGAGTTTAATGAAAACTCTCAAAGAGTGCACAAAACAATTAAAACCGAAAACTTGGCGTTTGAATGTTAATTCTAGCTGAGACTCTTACGGCAAACACTCACATGCATATCTTTGCTTGGCAAGGTGTCAACCTCGCAAATGATTGCAACAAGTTAATTATCTAACCAAGGACTAAATATTATCAACTCACTCCAACTTCCGCTGTAGGCCGAGATTAGCATGAAAAGTTCATGCTGTGTTCCCGCTGCCAGAACTTCGTGTACCATGGAAGAGCGCTTGGAGTAGAATGCGCGCAGTACAGTAGTCCAGGAGGACAGGATATAAAATAGCGAAGGGAAAAAAAACTGCTACTTAAATTCCCCCCTAATAATTTAGATAATTAACTTGTTGCAATCGTTTGCGAGGTGGAGACTTGCCAACCAAAGATGTGCATTTGAGTGTTTGCCATCAAAGTCTGAGCTCTAATTAACACTCGAATGCAAAGTTTTCCGTTTTAACTGTTTTGTGCACTCTCTATGGGTTTTTTCACTAAACTGATTGTGCAACTTTTGGTCTCGTTCATTCGCTCTTCCAACACTGTTGTAAGGTTCAGGTTGGAATTCTAATATTCCTCTTTTCTGCCTCTCAGAGTGGAATGTGACCCTATGTTCTATGGTAATTTTTGCTCATCTGGATGAGTACTATCACCCCTCTTAATTTATAAAAAACAATTTAGAACCACCCTGTATATATATATATATGCCTGACATAAATAAAATTATCTTAAAGTAGTATTACGTAGCTGGTTCGAAATAAGCATACTTCCATAAAAAATATTTAATGCATCGTATAAGTCTCTTGCAATTTTTATATTTATGTTTTAATTAAATTTGATAAATAATACATTAAAACATTTTCTCGCTTTCAAATTAATGTATATTTTTGCTTCAATGTGTTAATTATAATGATATATATCTTTACAAATTTAAAACATCCACCACCCGTAGCACTCGGTATCAAAAAATAAATATAAGTATTTCATGAAGTTCGATAGTCATCCGATTTTGATAATATATTGATGAGATGAATGACCTTGTAGATCTTCTGTTTTCTCTTTAATGCTTCCTCGTTTACGACTTTTCGTCAGTTTCTTTTGAGGAAGGGAATCATCAGAATCATAAAATTCCGCAGGCTTAAACTTTCGTCTGCTTTTTGGTGACACCATATGTTCTGCCGATTTCGAATCCATGCTCTCCTCTTCCTCTAAAGAAGTTCGTGAATGTGTTGCATAAGCAGGTTCATGACTAGTTCGATGATACGGATAATTCCTTACGTCTGTAGAGAGACTGTTGTGCAAAGGTTGAGGATGCTGTGAATTGGATGACTTCTGGTATTCTGTTTGAGGACGATATATAGGTTTTGGATCTTCTTGCAGTACCCTATTTGTTTCTCTAGGAAAGCTATGTAGATTCTGAGAAGCGTATCCAACAGCAGGACGTGCTTGGTAGTTTAAATCGGGCCTTTGGGACACAGGACGCTGATGAAACTGGGTATTTAAATTAGGTCTTTGAGATAAAATGGAAGATTGATGAAATTGGGTATTTAAATTAGGTCTTTGAGATATAGTAGAAGGTTGATGAAGGTTGTTTAAATTAGATCTTTGGGGTAAATTCGAAGCCTGATTGCTTAGAGCAGTCCTTTGAGATACACTAATCGGATCATGAATTTGATTATTTAGATTAGGTCTTTGGGGTGAAGTTGAAAGTTGATGAATTTGGTTATTTAACACAGGTGTTTGAGGTGCAATAGAATGCTGACTCGGTATAACCGCATACCTTTGTTCATGGTACAAACTGGGAGGTGGAAGCAATTGCGTCTGTAAGTCCTTTAGAAGTGGCTGGTTGTCTCCATATCTTAGGGCTCCTTCTGGTTGAGAAATTATTCTTGTTCGCAGTAAAGGATGGTAGTCAACAGGTCCTTGAGGATTAGATGGTTGTTGTTGATTGATAGCATTTTGAGAAACAGGATATAACTGTTGAATTTGCTGCTCATTCCTCATTTGTTGTTGTTGGTTGAGTTGAGGATTGTGGTACAGAAGATGGCTTCTTATTCCGATGTTTGCCGATGGAGGCTGGATTTGATATACATTATTTTGGTCAAGATGACGAAAAGGGGAAGGTTCTGACTCTCTGTGAGGCAACACAGAGTTATGCAAATTTGAAACCGTGTTATAGTTCTTGCCTGAAATTTCCTGTCCTAGTGGTCGATGAGGAACAGGAAGTTGTTGATGTGTTGGTGGACTGTGCTCCTGAACTCTGGTAAGGCCATCATTTTTCACTACATTTTGTTGTGGGCTAGAAATGTACGGCGAATGATGTGGTTCTGTTCTGTCATAATTACGAAGTTGACTGTTTCCTACAGGATCTCTCTGTGGAGTCTGATTAATTAAAGGATACCTATTTTGAGGTGGTGTTTGAATAATAGGTATCTGTTGAGGTAAATTTCCAATATTTTCATTATTCTGAGGGCGTTGTGGTATTAACGCATATTGAGCTACGCCTAACACATTAGGGTTGTTAGAAATTCTAAGCTGACGTTCTAAATCAGGAGTAATTTCTCTTAAGAAAAACGGTTGAGGGAGTATTGCACCAAAAGGTGAATCAATATTGTTGCTTCGAAATACACTACCATGTTCTAAACTGTGTGGTAGTATTTCTCGTTGCAGATTCTGCTCAAAATGTTTTAAATTTTCCAAAGGGAAGAACTGGCTACGGCCTAATATCAAAGGTTGAGAATGCTGAAGAATTTCTCGCATAGCAAAGTAGGGAGTAGTATCAGCTATGCTTGGCAATGAGAAAAAAGGATTTCTGTCTTGTCGAGATATTCCTGGATTCTTATTAGTCAGGAAATTGGATTTTAAATTCTTTGGAGACCCGTCATTCTTAAGGTCATATTCTGCGTTGTATGTCGGAGAATATCGGTCAAGTGATTCTTCAGTAGCTTGTATGCCTTTTGTTGCAGCAATAATCAAGTCAACTTTGCCGTCGCCGCCTTCACCAGAATGAATCTCGAGTTCGATGGCTTTGTTTTCCCTTTTGATTATGCTACCTGCTGGTTCAGATGTTTTTCTCTTGCCATTTGGATTGAGAATTACTTGGATCGGTAGGCTGTTCTTCTTGTCCTAAAATTACAGAATATAAAATAATACAACTGGTGAATTAAAACCTGAATGAATTAAGATTCTTAGAATATGTGCTAGTCATTAAAAGTTTTCTTTTGCTACAAGATAAACTGCCAAAATAAATACATGTCGTTAATTTGTAAAATTTTCATGTTAGTATTCATATTTATGTCGAACATATTTATGTCATTTTATAATAGATTTCTATTAAATAACTTGAGTCTCATGGTTAAGCAAAAATTATTGCAAGTTTTGTTACCTAAGGAAGCTGAGTGAGCTAAAATAGCCTGTTCTCAAGTTAGTCTGAGTACAAGCCGAAACTCATGGCTTTACGATCCTACCAGAAATATAATTTTCTTAATTCCGACGTATCTGAGGAAAATGCATTATTATTATGCTCTTTAACAATAATAATTAATAAAACTTAATAAAAGTAAACTATAGTTTTTTACTTACTTTTTTTGATTTTTCGTCAGCAGTCGTAACCGTGTAAGTTAAAAATACTAAAATCAGGATCTGAAAAGTGAAAAGAAATAGATAAAATACAAGAAGTAGTGTGGAAATATGAGTATAGCTAAGCAGTTTTCAGAACTCACCAAAAGCATTCATTATTGTATATTGAGAAACAGTAAAAGTATTTAACCCGTAACAGGGGAGGTGAAAAAGTTGAACATAATAGGGGACGTGCGGTCTTAGAGACCGCGCATTATAATAAATTTTTAAAAATCGTCTAATTAAAATATCATCATGATATTTCACTTAGATGTTCTTTGAACATTTTACTCTGAAAAAAATATGTTTTTAACACTTTAAAGTGAAATTAAAGTTTTCCCAAAATTTCCCCATAGCCTCAAATTTTTCGATGAAAATCATATGCTGCACTAAATTCTATAAAACTAAAAATAAGAATGCATCTATTTTGAATTAACTATTTTTATCTATATTACTTAATATTCAAAGCAAATTTTAACCGCAGAAAATTGTATGTAGAACAATACAGAAAAATTTTTACAGTACCTAAAATATCAGTATCTCACTGATTTTCTGATAGTAAACAATTTAGTTTTCGTCTTCTTTAAGCACATTTATTGCATAATTTTTGCGTGCATTCCAAACTAACAGGGTCTTGGCAAGATAAACATAAATATACTGGTCTTTCTTTTCTTGCTTCGGGGGGGGGGCACAGACGACATGTTTTCCTTGATTTTAATTTTGCTTCTTTTGTGCACTGCTTCACATCCTTAGACTCAGCTTCTTTTGTGCACTGCTTCACATCCTTAGACTCAGCTTCTTTTCCTAAAATCCGCTTTATCGTCAGGCGCAATTCTCGATTTATTCTTGGATTTTTCCCTCTCGTGTGTAGTAGTGGTTGGACTTAATTCTCTCGCTAATTATTTCAAAAACACCATTCTGGTCATAACACGGTTTTGGTTATAAACCTTGGTGCAAAATGTATGCGTTTACTGTACTCATATCTACTAACCGGTAGAAAAGCCATAGGCCAACGCGTTGTTCTCCTACTACAGGAATGGACAGAATATTTTTCATCTAAAGCATCAACACCACCTTTGGTTCTGTTATAAAAACCAATTATTTCAGGTTTCTTTTTTCCGAGTCTGTTTCTATCGAATGATGCAATGATGACATCAAAACCACTTCTTCTCGCCTTTTTTTTTTTCGAAGAAATTTTCTTCACAGTCATCTTCTTCACTAAAACTTCCAACTTCGTCTAGAAATTTTTTTTCAGTTCTTCTGCATAACGTGGATCAGAAGGATAAATGAATCTCCGCGGACCTAACTTCAGAGCCATGTGTTCACTACTGCCCGAAAACGGGTGACATTGAGACTGGACCCATTGAGGAGGTGACGTCTCACAGACCGCTCTAGAAGAATTTCAACAGATACACTTGCCAAAGCATTCCGAAAGAAGGGGTCAGAAAGAAGGTCACGAAACGTGAAGCTAGGGCAAGAATCCATTCACTTAGACAAAGCATGCAATAGGGGTGATGGGAGGAACATGTGGCGGGCCGCACGTTCCCTGTTACGGGTTAAGAAAAAAGTAAAAATATTTGAGCACGAAAAATAAGAAATAAATCAAGAAGTTCATAGAGACTGAAATTATGCATATACCAGCTGATCCAAAAGCAAAAGAATAAGTAAAACAATAACCTGGTGTGAGTTATAACTAAGTGTTTCACCGATAGTTGGTGCTTTAGTGTTGTCAGAAGTTCGCTCAGTGAAGCAAGAAAGTTCGCAACGCAGCTAAGGTTTAAAATGCTCAGTGTGATAACCGTCGTTCCATTAGACGTGTCACGTGCACAGCGACGAAGAAGGTTCAGTTGTAATTTCTATCACATGGTGACAAATAACTTCTTTTAGCATGACTTATAACAATGGCCGACCTCTGTATACTTGTGACTTAGAGTGGATCCATAATCAAAAATTACGAAATATAAGGTCTGGAAGTATTAGTGGCCATTTATGCGAAAACGAACACTGAAGACACAGTCACCAACAAATGTCAGCAGCAGCTGCTGCGATTGAAATTCCATCGTGGCGTTCTGTACTCCATCGGTCGTCATCGCTATCGATCGCATCACCTTTTCATTGCTATCTACTGTCAATCGTTTGACGTTCTTGCAGAGACTCTCTAACGTGTATGAATGTTAAATTACGGAATTTGCCTTTCATGCAAATAGGAGATGATGCTGTCTGTTTAAAGTGCTTCATAACACTCGACTGTAATAGAAACAATTCGAAATGTACTGCTGTGGACTTCCTGAAAAAAAAAAAAAAAAAAAAAAACTAGGCATATAAAGAATAATTTACTGAACTTGCAACGTTCTGTAATCTTTGGCTGATACAAAGTGCTACTTCGACAACCGCTTGTAAATTCTGTCTCGCCCAGCTGCAGCACTTATCTGCATCTGCTCTTTCATTAAGTGAAACTTACGTCTGGTCAGTGCACAAGACACTGTCTGCATTACTTTCCATCTGTTGAAAATCCAAATCGAAATTTCATGACATCTCTCGATTTAGAATGGTTAAAGCTTGCTGTACATATTAGAATTTTTAAGGATATATCTTGAGGATGATTCTGAAGGACCGCCACATAGTCTCATATGAAATGTCAGTTTTTCAGAATTGCTACAGAAGCACCTGTCGATAAAAATGTAGCTTTATATTTTAAAGCGCAAAGTTTGAATGTGAGCGATCTGAGGTTGGAAAGAACATTTTTGCAGCGAAACTATGAGACACAGTGAAACTGTGAGTTATATTATATAAAACCTTAGAAAAGTGCCAATTATTCTCTGTGTAAAGGAATCGTGGCGAAATTTTAACAGATTAAAAAGTATGCAAAGGTTGGGTGCTTATACTCATCCCACATCCCTGATATATAGTCTCGCCTTATAACAGTGTTATATTTAGACAAATTCGGAAAAAAATAAGACAGATAATAATCGAGAAGAGTTCTATTCGGAGTACGGTTGAGAAAAATTGCTGTTCTTTCACAAAGCATCATAGAACCATAACCAAATATGCGTCAAATAAAGTAGGATGAAGTATAGTAAAACAAAAGAGGTCAAGAAACTTCATGCTTAAACTGCTTATATAACCACAAGACAGCTAATTTTCATATTTTAGAGGGAGGACGGTTAAGAAAGTTAGAAATTTTCCTTTGTAAGGCATTTTATGCTGTCAATTTTGAGTTATGTGTGAAGGAATTTATCTTTATCTCCTTCACTGATGCTGTACTGCCCAGAGAAGAACAAAAATTCTTGAGAACTGTGTGATGTCTTGATTTAAGGATTTCTCAGAAGTGAGAATTCGGTTATTTAAGAGAGTAAGAGAAACCTTTTTGTCTATCAAATCGTAAATTTTTGAGTTTATTTGATAAAAATGAGGAGTGCATACCCCTGTTTTTAATGAATATTGGGAAATAAAACTCCAGAATTTCTTTGAAAACTATGAAATTATATGCATAGTTAAGAGATCTGAAAATAAAATTAATCAAATTCGAGATTATTTAAAATTGATAGAAAGAAAAGGAAGGTTGTCAAATTCAGATGAAAGAATTACTTGAAAAATTTTCAAAATGTTTTTTAGAAATGCAATCTTTTATCATAAAAGTAGAATATTTCTCCTAAATAGTTCATTAAAACTGAAACTTATTTAGTTATTTTAAATATATTTTAGAGATATTAAATTAAGGCCATAGAACATAACTGACGTTTATTGAATTAGTGCATTTTGCTTTTTACCGATTTTTAAAATTATGAATAACAAGATTGTTCTTTGAATTAACAGTTACAATTATTAAAAATTGTTGTAATTATCTTATAATTGTAAAAATATAAATAGTTGTTATAATTAATACTCCTTCGATTGATAATTAGATGTTGTAATAATTATAGTACCATTTCTTATTATTACGATCAGTTGTGACAAATTTTGCTTGTCTGATATCAGAACAAGCTTGCGAAATTCTTCGTGATAAGGGGGTAAGAATGCGCCTGTCGTTGGCAAGAACCTTGGGCATCATAGGGGTGGGAACAAAGTATTACATTAATAAATATTTATTTTGCATTAAACAAATTTCATCGCTTCTTCTAGATTAATAAAAAACAATTTTTAAATCTAATGAGCCAAAAGCTTACTTTCACAAAATTTAAATTCCTCTAGGAAGATGTGCATACAATTCTGATAACCCTACAAAGTAAAATTCCGCTACTTTTTCTTTCAGCTTTCTTGATATCCGCAGTTTTAACAAGTATACCTCTAATACTGAATCAATTTTTTTTTTTTTTTTAGAAATTGCCTTAGTTTGACGGTTCTGAAAATAAACCTTGTTTAATTTCTTTAAATTAATGACTAAAGTGGTGGTGTATTTAATTATGGCAAAGCATACTAGGGCTGTCTGCCTAAGGGAAGGGATGCCTTCGTGGAAGACTTTCTAAGGGAAACTGGCTCGTATACACGTTACACATGGGGAAAACCACGAAAACGCCCATGCAGCCAGCCCGTTCGCGGGATTCGAACCTCGGACCGAACTTTGGTTTTTTATTGCGATAGAACTTGATATCATGAAATATCTTTAATTTATGTTGCTGTTGTTTAGGTTCACTTGTCTGACGTAGTCAGCCCAAGCCCACGAAATTCCTCGTGGCAAGGAGGGCTAGATTACGCCTGCCGTTGGCAACAGCTTTGAACACCATCCAGGTGACAGTGCGATTTAGTTCAGTTCCGCTCCCAATTTTGATGGAGAACACCCCGGGGGGACGGGTCCAAGAGTCCCACCCCTCTCCCCTTCCACCAAACTACACGAGGGCACTTTCAGCTCGTCGCATATTTAGGGTGCCGCCATGCTGCACCGATATTATACACATTTACAAACATCCACGCCTTCTGCGGGATTTGAACCCGGGTCCTTCGGCAGGGCAGTCAGCGACGCTAACCACTATACCGGTTGGGCAGGTCATTAATTTACTAACAGGTAAACTGCAAGGAAGAGGGTA